TCCACATACTTTCCTCACTCCATCAACATCCCTGCACAGAGGGCATTCCAAGAAGATTATTTTTTCTTTTGCCTGAACGCTTGTCTAAAAGAGAAACTTCTTTCGGGATACAATAAGAACACCGTCAATTGAACCTCTGTTTAACAGCTTCAAGCAAGAGTTTGTTGGTGTGCAGCTCCTGCTTTGACTAAACAGTCCAATCCTAGAGAGGCAGGTCCTGTTGCAGTTGCTGCAGACAAATTTCATGTGTGGCTGTGCTGTTGAAGCCGTGGCTAGCTGCCATTTGTGTTGTCTTTTCTCCTCTCACTGTTCTACTCTCGTCTGATCACTCCTCTGTATACCTGTCTTCACAGCGCATCTCCATTAGGGGCAGTCTGAAGCATAGGCTTCCCATTGTGTAGGGTTGATTTCACTGGCCTTCATATCCCTCTTGCGCACATCCTTGAAGGTCCTGCCATTTGATGCCTAGGATTCGCCTCAAGCAGCGGAAATGGAAAACATTCAAACGGCGCTCCTGGCGTGCATACAGGGTCCACGACTCACTGCCATACAGGAGAGTGCTGAGCACACAGGCCTGGTAGATCTTTATTTTCGTGTTGGTGGTTAGTAAAGTGTTCTTCCAGGCCCGCTTGACTGTAGCCATCTTGGTTGCTGCCTTGCCAATGCGAACGTTGAGTTCGAGATCAATGGAGAGGTTGCTTAATACATGGAGCCGAGGTAGGTGAAGATTTGAACCACTTGGAGGGTGTAGTTTAATTAACATTGGAGGATTCGAAAGTCTATGACACCAAGTTGATCTACTCAAGAGTAATAGGACTGCAGGTAAGTTCAAAAATATTTTGTCATGGAAGCTTTCACCAGTCCCAATAGCACTCTTTGATGATTCTGAAAACATGAGCTATGCAAAAGAAGAGGAAACCAAATCCCTGATCCCTGTCACAGTACTTACAAAAAAATGTACAACTCGCACCGGACAACATAATTATCAAGGTTAATAAGGTGCACTTGCGCGAGTGGAAGCCTATATAAATCATCACGGTGCCAATGCAACAAAGCAAAACTAGCATGCACAATTTTCTGTGGTTTTCGCGCCTCTGTCGAGTGTTGTAACGATCAAACTAAAGCAGCAAATGATAGCCATTGGAAGGTAACCATGTTTGGTCATTTTGGGTGAATATTTCGCTTTATTAAACTCGTAAATTCCCTTGTAGGAGAGGAACCTTTTCATGATAGGTTCATATAAAAGAATCTATTACCTCAAAATACAAATCAAGTTTCTTAATGCTGTCACTGAAAACGGGCATTTATAACCATATGCCACCTCATATCTATTGGACAGAGAGTATGAAATTCTAGCTTGTTTTCTTCAATTATTAAAGATAAAGACCAGTTATGGTCATGCGATTGCATTGTGAAAGAAACGCTGTGGAATCGATCAGAAAAGGTTAATTATCTAGCATATAAGTATTGGTGTGTACTGCAAAGTTCTTGAATCATCAAAATGATTAGAAATTTGGCACAGTCTTGGTAAAGTTACAAGCACTGTACACAGAAAGATGTATATGGGACTAAGCGACACGTGCGCGATATCTATCAGGTCCAAATAATATTTACCAAATATATCAATTAGTAGGCGGTTTCTCGGCAAAATTTGTATCATCACGTATTAGTCAAAACTTATTCTTTCACATGATTGGTAATAAGAGCTTCCATTTCATTTTTTGAGAGGGGGGCGTTTCCAAAACTGATCTTTACCATTAAAGTACAAAAAAATCACACCAAAATGTGGTGCACAATTTTTATTAATTGTATTTAGTGAGTCTGACTTATACAAAAATGTTAATTTCATGTTAGAAATTGGCATTTGGCTATCATTTAAAATTATGCAAGTTAAAGTGTCTATAGAGGGCGCCATTCTGAATTATGCAAATTTACATGACATTTTTTACATCGCCAATTTTTATTTAGTGATGATCCTAGAAAAAAATTAAGATATTTGACTGACATTTAATGTAGAAAAATATTGTAAACAATTTTGTTATCATTAATTTTGGTAAAAAAGGGTGTTTTGGCGGCCATTTTGTGTGACGTCACATATCTCAAATTGCTCAAGGCTGACAGAGTGTCAGTAATCGGATTCTTCAAATTGATGGTCTAAGGAACTATAATAAAAAACAAAACAACTATAGACCCTAAAACAAGGTATATCGAGATGGCTGCCGGACTATTACTTATTATCATGAAATTATTTGTGACATTTTGATTTTTTTTCCGTAGATAAATTATCTCCTCAGCGCTTTATTGTTCATTTTAAGTTTGGAGAAAATATAGAATAATTAATCTATCAAGAAAAAAATCATATTGTCACAATCATTTCATGAAATGGGGTAAGAAATAATTATTCCAACTCTATGAGCAGCAGTGTATATATAACGTATATCTAAACACTGACACCCATAGGCGCCGGAAGTGGGGGGGGGGGGGGGGAACGCATTTTTGCCCCCCTCCCCCCCAAAAAAAAGCCCCCACCCCTGTAAAGTAATGGTTTATATTTTCGAACCAAAAGAACATAACAATAATAAAAACCTGAATTAATTCACATATAACATTCCGTTCAAAGAAAAGGAAAGTTAACAGGAATTCAATTTCCTAAACATTCCGCATGCAACCTATATTTATCAATGGAGGTTTTTGTAAAAGCGATATGCGCATATCGTGGAAATATATTGTGAGAGGATGGGAAAGCGTGTGTGTTTTTTTGTCATAGGGGTGAGAAGACATGAGCCCCTGAACGCTAGCGTACTGATGGGGGGGGGGGGATTTCTTATTCGATACAAGTGATGTCCAAAAGTTGCTGAAATGACATGATTTTCCTAATTTTGTTTTACCTAAAACCCTGGACCACATCAATGGCCTTAAAGAGGGCCCCTGGATGCTCATATTACCGTAATTAAATACTTAAAACCCCGAGTTTCCGGGGGCTCTGCCCTCTGGACTCTCCGCCAATTAGTGACCTAACAGTGTCACAAATAAGGTATGTAAATATTTTTATCTGACCGTGATTTAATGCCTAAACCCCTAAGCTTTCCCCCAGGACCCCACCAAGGGCCCTAAGGCGTGCCCCTGGATGCTGATCTGACCCAATTAAATACATAAAACCCCTGAGCTTCCGGGAGCTCTGCCCTCTGGACTCTCCGCCAATTAGTGACCTAACAGTGTCACAAATAAGGTATTTAATAATTTTATCTGACCGTGATTTAATGCCTAAAAACCCTGAGCTTCCGGGGGCTCTGCCCCTTGACCCCCAGCCGGGGCTTCCAAACGTTTTTGCTCATCACGCCACTGCCCCGGGAAGGTGAGCCCCCTGGAACGTTTGCCCCCCCCCCAATCCCAAACTGCTTCCGGTGCGTCTGCTGACACCTTTTTGGAAGAAAGAGTTATGTTCTTATCCACATGTTCAAAGAGGAATTAATGTTGGAAGAAGGATTAAATAAGGTTTGAACTAAACACTCGGGTAGCGGCGCGCTGGAAAACACTCGAGTCACGGGTTGGTGGGCCAATGTTGTTTTTGTTGGTGTGTTTTGTTCTATTGGCGATTAGTCAGTAATTTGACTATTGTCGTCAAAATACTTTACGTCACGTGTTATATATCTCATTTTTGGATTATTTTCTAAATATTTTGTTTAAATATTTTTATTTCGTTTTATATTTATCTATCTTTTAAGATAGTATCGAAAATTAATATCGTAAGCAAAACATTCATGGGCTTTGTTAGTGTTTCTTAACAGTACGTGCAGATTATTTGTTATATCACATACACACCATAAGATAGTACCTACAAGCCTCTATGTTCAATAATCTTATCATACCATTTATCATTGTTGTTACTTTTTCTTGTTTTCTTTTCTTATTACATTATGTTATTATATTTTTAATGTACTGAGTGTAATTTAGCATATTTATAATATTGTATTATGTTTTACTGTTCTTATTTTATTACTTATTACATTATGTTACTATATTTTTAATGTACTGAGTGTACTTTAGCATATTATATTATTGTATTATGTTTTACTGTTCATTGTTCTCTATACAAGGGAGGTTTTACTTCCTGATAGGAAACCGTTTCGTTCTGAGAACGAACCGTACAACAGCTTTTTGTATACTGGACTCACTCTTTTTTAAGTATTCCATTATTTTTTCCGGTTGAGATTCGTTTATTTCTGTTAAAAACATAATCCTTTCTATAATATAGTTAGGGCAATATACTAAAAGGTGTTTTACTGTCTCTATTTCATGGCATCTATTACAAAAACCGGTAGCATGAATTCTCAATCTCAGGAGATCCTGATTAAGTTCAATGACTCCAAAGCGGAGGCGATGAATAACTGTTGTAATGGTGTCTTCAATCGGCCCTACACGCTGGGAAAATCTTATCTTAAATTAGCGACTGTTTTTTTAACAATTTTTCATTAGGGGTGCGTGGGGAAATTTACTTTAAAAAGAAGTTGGAAGTACATACAAATGGGGAAAGATGAATTGCAGAAAATAAAGAATTGCATTGTAGGCAAAGAAAAAAAGAAGAGAGGAATGAAGGGGGAAACTGAAGGAAGAGAAAGAATTAAAGATGTAGAAGAACGATAAAAACAAATGGCATAATAAATCATAAGATGATAGGGGCAACTAAGAAAGAATATCGTAAAGATAACATGATGGAAGAAAAAAAAATGAAGAGGGAATGAAAGGACACAAATTAATAAAACCATTTAAACTACGACAGAGGGCAGAAATATGATTAAGACGTTATGGCAAAAGGAATTAAAGAAATTGATGGTAGAAGAATCAAAGATAAAGATATACATAAATAATTTCAAATCCCTTCTTCAATAACTTTTCCCCCATATAAATCCAATTTGCAGACACAATTACAAAAAAATTGGTCCAGCTAGCCGTAACCCAAGTGTTTAGTATAATCCTGAAATAAGGAGAAGAAAAAGGGCCAAAAATGAGAGCCATGTTAGGATTGTTAAAAATATAACTTTTGTAATGTTATATTTGATTCTCTCAGGATATTGTAGTTTATAAGCCACTTCTAATGACCCCTAAATATACACAGATATTTTCACGTTGTGCATTTTAGAATAATCACTGCTAGAGTGATGGAGGTGCTTCATTATCCCCTCTTGAAAAAAATCCTCCCACCTGTTTTCCATAGAATTTAGCGTCGGTGCATAAATGAATAATGATTCCTTAATTTTATAAATACGTATCCGGCGGTCGTCCCGATGGGTTTTAGAGTTTTGTCCAAATGCCCTATGTCTGACCATGACCATCTCTGAATTGGCATATTATGACATACCTTTGCCGACGATACAATCGATGCCCATTTCGAAAAGAAGTCTTTGTGTAGCTCACTCTCGCTCAGTTCCAAACTCTCTAAGCGAGGCATCTTACAGATGAACTCTGCCAGTTTACATGATGTCAGTGGCTGGTGGTAGAGTCTGGCGAAGCCAATCGTCAGGTTTTGAATCTGCCGTGGAAATTAAAATATTTTAATATTAAAAATACAATCCATTCAGAAAATAATATTTCTTCAAAGATAAGGTAATATCATATTCATGTTCTACATTAATAAAAATGTTTTTCAAATATATGGATTTTCATTGTTTTTTATATTTGTTAGTCTTTCATGAACTAGACAGTGGACGGAGGAAAATGCTTAAAACTCTTCCATTCAACTGTCACATTTAAAGGCGAATACATTGTATGTAGGTTGTACCAGCCAAACACCTAAACCACACTATGCATTGTAAAATATTGATACGAGCATTTTGTTATAAGATTGATGAACCTACCTGACATTGTTGTACGTTATCAACTAGCATTGAGTAGAAGACAGCATGCATGGGTATAAAGTCAGGAAGCAAGGAAAGTGGGAAGAAAGTACTCATGGATCCGCCAATCCTCATGGTTCTCAGTGATGCCGAAGACAGGATGAATTCTGCCAGGTCCTGCGAAGCTGTGTGGCCACATCGCTTTGCCAAGACAAGGGAATCCTGCAAGGTAGAAAAATAAACAATTCTATGACGCGATAGAGACATATTAGGAACCAGTGCTTTGACACACGCAATATGTGATAATGGACATCGAAGCTGCTGATGACCTCGATGACTTTGTTCAGCTTAGAAGAAACGTGATATGTGTCAGAGAAATTCACAATTTATTATGCGCTATATAAATATACTCTATTAACATTTCTGGTAGTGCATAGTTTTTTATTATAAAATGTATGACTATGTGCGCCTCAACACATGAGTGTTATTATATCATCGTAGCCATGCACCAATGAAATACACTGTGAAATACTTTAAAGCGGTTTGAAAAAAGAGAATATTGTTTTTTGTGCACCTGAAATTTGGAGCAACCACGCTATAACATTCAATTTGTTTATAATGGATTCTAGAAATTTAATTTTGAGAGAAAAAAAATTGCGCCATATGTTAGCATTTAACATCACCCCTATAATTTGATTAAAAATAGAATGATGACATTATATGCTGTAGTCCATGTGTAGTACCCTCTATCGTACATTAAATGTGGAAAATATAGAAACTGGGGGAGTGGGGTTGATTAGATTTGGAGCCTTTGTCAGCTAGATTATTCTAACTTTGGACGGTTGTGATATACAATGAGATGTGCATTGGGTTTTAGGTACTTTTTTCCTAAGAATGAAGAGAAAAGTTTTATTACCACTTCACCCAGATGGTCCTTGATGAACAGCAATCCGAATACCGTATGTACTGACCAATGACAAGTGATATTCAAGGTTTTCCTACTTCTCATAAATTGATTCCCCACTTTCTTGGCTACTGATTGGTGTTGGCTCTCATACGCTACATCAACGATGAAACGCCATTCCCTATCTATTAAATAGTCATGACTGAAATCGCGGACATAGTTGAACTCGCTTTGGGCAATCTGTGGTAGCCATGACGCTTTATGTTTAGCAATGAGACGCGTCACAATGTCCAGGCCATGCTCACTCCCTTGAGCAGACGTGAAATACAGTAGATAACGAAACTCCTCTTTTTTTTCAAGGATGTCAGCCATGATCCTCTCATATCTGTCGTGATCTGAACTATACAGTGATGCCAGAAACTTGGCCGCCAAAAATTCTTGGAAGAGCTGGTGAGGAAAGTGCACCATGGATATTTCTAAGCAAGGGTTCTTCCGTCTGTCACGTCTCGGGGTAGCATGCTTCTCTCTTGTCAGGACCCCAACTTTACAGCCCAATTCCATAGATACTCTGCAACTCTGAAAGGTGTCTTCAGGAAATTCTATACGTCTGTCTAAAATCCCCTGAAAGGCAATTTCGCCAATTGTTTTTAGATGATTGGGAATCATCTGACGGAGCTCCTGCACAGTGGGACATGTCTGGGAATCATCCTTGGATCCACAATGGTCTACCAGCAAGTCGACCATCTCATCAAACAGCTGTGAAAATGTCATCAACTTAGACATTGCCTTTCGTCTTTCTCCGTCGTACTCCCTCCACATGATGCACAACATAGCGATATAGATCGGGAAGGGTGCCATGTTATCGGCAATGACATCGTTGCTGTTGATGAAATCGATCAGTTTTTGGGAGGAAGCTGCGTCTTGATTAAAGAACTTCTTGATGTACTCAGTAACATTGTCGGGTGAGAACCCATCCAGGTATATGAACGCATAAGCTTTCTTGAGTTCAGTGATGCGGTGGATCTCATGCGCCCTCCACTGTCGCGATGTTACCAAGACCGTACCGAACTTGAACAGCCGGTTGAGAATGATCTGAACGATCTGATGACTGTTGTCTGATAACTTTTCCCAAAGCTCGTCTAGACCATCAAACACCAGAAAAACGTCTTCCTGATTGGTTAGGATGTACTTATCTATCTGCACTGCTGTAAACGGATTGTTGTCAGATAGGTAGGATTTGATAACGTCACCAACTGTCTTGTTCTTGGCCTTGCGGACGGGAATCACAGCAACTAACTTGAACTGCTGGAAGCCAAGATCATTTGCCCAATCCCAAACTATCTTGGAGCAGAATGTCGTCTTTCCTGCTCCACCTCCACCTTGTACTAGTAATCGATTTGACAATTGTCCGTTGATTTTTGTCTTGAGGAGGTTGCGATAGGGCAGCGGATTCCTTTTCGTTATGTCGTTTCTATCCTCTTCGAGCAATGTCGGATCGGTGTAGATATGGTTGAACTCGAACATTACGTCATTATTGGTTGGGTCTGCTTGAATGATACAGATATTGCGTTTGTAGTACTCCTTGATGTCTTTAACAACACTCTCCAACAGGTCATTTTGTGGAAGATCGTCGGAAGCTAGAAGTAAAATGAAAATAAAAAATAAAATGAAAAAAGAATCAACATTCAAGAAAAGAAAGGAAATCAAATTAATATTGTTTCTCTAAATTTGTATGGACCTACATGTATGTCTATACATTTGCCGAATATTAGATTTGTGTTATAGGCAATGCATTCCATTGCATTTTTGCCAAATATATGCCACGCCACACAGCTAAACAGATTAGCTCCATGTACCACATTGTATTGATCATGGGATAGATATACTATACCATTCAATATAATTTAACCGTATCAAGTGCTAGACTAATCTACACCTGTTATGCACAATGGGGATTGTCATGGAGCTACTCCAGACTGGGGGTGGGCGAATTTGCAGAACCATTGTCTTGCAAGAAGGTAATCCTTCTGTTCATCAATACATGGGGCCTATTGTTTTTTGTTGGTCTGCACGCATGATAAGCGGGGGCAAATCGGCACTGATGGTTAAAGAAAAATTAACTACTTTCATGAATTACTGTTATTAACGTCAGGCAAATATTCATAGAAATAATAAATGTATACTTCGAGACCTTCTTCATGGTTATACTTTCCTGAGACGTTGCTGTTAGGAAAACGTTGGACTCTTTACACAAATTTGAGTCCATTATTACATGTAAAGGGAAAAGTAACACAATAGAGGAAGTTTTGATTGCATAATCATAATGTTCAACTTCATGTGTAGGGCAAGAGCCATGGCAATAAAAACCCTTGTCACCTTAAAGGAATAGTTGAGTTTCGTTGCAGAGGGCGCCACACATAATTTGAACCAGCCGTTGAAAAACGAGATAGCGCCTTTTACGTTTTATTCCAGCAATCCCGATGTTGGCTTTTTGTTTGCTTTTTCGTGTTGGTTTATTATACGCTCAACCAGCCGGCCCGTGTTTTGTTATTATTAATTAATTAATGGTCATCGTATTTTTGTTAAAGTGGAGCATAATTAGTGAGTTTCACACATTTTGGGGTCTAAAATTACCTTCACGGCAAATTTAGGTCCTACAAGGGCACTAGAAATGTCATTAGTTTAAGAATAACAGCAATAACGATGCACTTTTGCATTTGCGGTCTGAAAGAAGAACTCCGGGAAAAACTCAACTATCCCTTTAAAAAAGTGTTGTAAAGCGGCTTTACTTATTTTCATGATTCTTTTAAATTACTTTAAAACAAAAAAAGCTACTTTGGATTGTGAGTACTCACTGGTTTGGAGGTCTGGAACCTTCGAATTCATCAAGAGCATATCTGCAAGTCTTTCAAGTTGTGCCTCTCTCAAAGCATGTGCAAGAGATGGTCGTTCTTCAACCCTTCTCTTGGTATTTCGCCAATCGCGGAGCATCTTCAATGTACCATCATACGTCACATGCTGGTAACGGGTGTTCGTTGCTATGTACCTCTCAATTTCGGCCGGATCAAAACCAGAGGGCCTTGCCGAGAGTATCTATAGTCTTGTTGTCTGTGATGAGACGCGCGACATTTTCCAAGATGTCATCGAAACCATCTTCCTTTTCGGAGTGACCCCTTCAAGAGACATATACATAACATTCCCATGGTTATCCACTATGCCGATTCTTTGTCATGCAATTCAGAAACTGTCTGGATGTTAAGCCTGTTATCTTTTAGATGATATTATAGACTGAACAGGACTTGGAACAAGTTTTGAAAAATTAGCAATATTTATACTGACCAAACCTTGCTGAAAATCACATAAAGTGAAAAGCTCTAAACATAGATATACACATTTTGAACTAGACAGACATGAGTAAAACGAATCAGGTCAACGAATTTGGCGTATTTGTAGTTGTAGTTTATGCTGACACTCCTCATCACTTCTAGGAGCTATTCTTAAAATATCGAACTCTAACTTAATTCAATAATTAGTCAATCTTTAGGTCATCTTAAAAGCCTTTGAGATTCCAAGAAGTAGAGGAGGAGTAGGCACATGACGACGAAGAACAGGAAGAAAGAGTAAAATAAAGTCAGAAGTAGTATAGAAACAATAATAAATACAACAAGAACAATAACAACACAAACAAAAACATGAACAAGAAGGACACAAGTTAAAATATCAGTTCCAAACAGATGGAAAATATACATCATTATTACTTACGAATGTTTGCGCTTCGGTCCAGGGTTGGATTCCACATCTCCAGCCGTCATGAGGAGAGTTTCTGTGACATGAGGTTTATCAGCTTCTTTAACGTCTAGGTCTTGTGGGGTTTGAGTGGTAAACGAATTTTTCACTCTGGTGGCTGCCTGCTAAAAGTCAAAACATTATTATTGTTATTATTATTATTACTATTATTATCATTATCATCATTATTATTATTACTACTACTACTACTACTACTACTACTACTACTACTAGTAGTATTGAAAATACACATACATATATTGTTTGTTAGTGTGTTTGAGTGTGTGTGTCTTTGTATCTCAATTGATAGAGAGAAATGTTTTAATTGTATAAGTAAGTATAATGAGTTGGTACCGAATGTTGAATTGAAGAAATAAGGAAAGTGAAGGTCTGGATTGTGCCATTGATGATAGAGAGTTAATTCATTCAGCAATGCCAGGGATTATTGTGCTGGTCCAGTATTGTGTTGACTAATAGAAGGTATGACTATGCACCTGTTTCAGGTTCTGTACATAAGGGCCCGAATTCACAAAGGAGGTTTGAGCTCAAACCTTGGTTTTCGTACGTCATATGACGCGTTTTACGCGTTTTTTACAAACCTGGTTTGTAAAGAACAAAAGGAGGTTTGGCGAAACAAAAGGAGGTTTGAGCTCAAACCTTGGTCTGAGCTCAAACCTTGCTTTGTGAATTCGGGCCATTGTGTAGAGGGTTGGCATGAGTACATTCTGAGACTTGGCCACATCTCAACTTTAAAGCCAAGAGGCATGCAGGATTTGGTTCTGCTCTGAAGACATTGCTAATTTTCTTATAATTTTCTTCCTGGACAAGAACTACCGAGGTTCTGTTAAAGTCAAGAGAGAGACGGTTTGGGTTCTACTTGTGTTTTGGTTCGTTCTTCTATGATGAAATTGAAAATGACAGGGGAATGAAGCTATGAGATTTCTGCTTAGCTCTGTGGAAATAATGAGGTGTGATTGGCTTCCCTCAAACAAATCGAAAGGGAAAGAAAATATGTTGTTGGTCTTGATTCTGAAAGTCTGTTTAATCCCAGTCGTTCTAATTGAATAAAACGAATATATGTATATACATGTACATTTTACATGCAAATTTGATGATAAGAGTATAAACACAGACTAGAAAATGTATGCATGAATTCTTAAACTTAGATAGCACATGAGCCATGGGTTTTAGAGGGCTGTATAAAGTGGAGCTCAACCTTTCACAATACGAACGGACATTTTCTTATTTTCAGCGTCATCGGCAATGAATCGGGGACAATGGTGAGCTTTATCATACCATATTGATTTTTACTACAAATGTAACTTTTAATATACAGCGAAATAAATCGCGGAAAAGTAATGAATACGACATGAGTTATAACTACAAGCGAAACTGATCATCATTATTGATGATTACGTTTTGAAGTGTGGATTTACATAAAACGTCTTATTTCGGATCACATCCGAAGAGTATTTGGATTGCCATTGACTGAATTTAACACAATTTAAAGAGAGTAATGTTTTACATTCTGTAGAGGCTCTCTGCATGGAGCAGAGAAGACTTGTATTCTATCTTTATTTTTTCTTCTTCTTCTTTTGTAATGTACAACATTTGTGGTGTATTTTAAAATGAAACAAAAGAAATATTGGATTGAAGAGAAATTGTACCAAGAAAGTACAGAGTTTTGGATATTTAAATGTGTATGTACTTTAGGTCTGTACATATTAAAAAAGCACAGGATGCGAAGAGAACCCATAAGTCCCGATTCCGTAATGTACAAGAAATGAATTCACAGGGTCTTGTGCCATCTCGTGTCCGCATGCAGTTTCTGGCATTCCTCATTTAAATGATAGCCGTGCGTTGATCCTGTTTAAGTTTATTTTCCTCATTTCAATAAAAAAATGTATCACAAATACACGTAGCAGCAAAACATTATAAAAATGGTATAACAGTCCAATTCAGTACATTAGACAATACAAACATTATGGGCGGGTAAGAGCACAATTTTTATTTTTTTTTGCTCACAACATTTTTGAAAGGGCTCAAAATGGGAAATAAAGTTACTTTTTGGGGGTCACCCTTTGGTACAAACAAATATAAACATTTTTTTAAAATTATTATTATTATTTATTTGTTTATTTTTCTTAAAGGGGGGGGGGGGGGGGTCATCTAAAATTACAGACATTAACAAAATGGAGGGAGGGTTCAACCCTCGATACCCCCCCCCCCCCCCCCCGCCGCGTACGCACCTGATTGCAGATCACCTATTTTGTAAATTGACAGTTTGCATGGAATATTGGAATTACCATCTTCAGTTCAAATAATCAAGTTCGTACCATGCCATGATGAGTATAGTATGTTTATATCCGTAATAGTGAGAACGAATGGAAATATACATGTAATTTATATGTATCAAGTTACTGGATTAACATTTTGTCTGCAAGAAATTTTAATTTCCATTTTGTGATTAATGAAACATAGCAAATGCCTTTAAATAATCATGTACCGTCAACCTTTTTTCTCTTTATTGAGATAAATCAATAAACCAGATAATCTTGGGTTATTAACATAATAATGAAATTTAAAAAATGCATGCCTAAAGATTTTGTGGAAATAATTCAACATTCTATGAGTTTGTAGATCGTGTATTTATACTCATGTCCGCATTTGCAGCATTGCTTTCTTACCAAGTTGCTGAAAATGTATGTTATACATGCCTTGTATATACCTCTGAAAATATTATCAAGATTAAAGATAAACTCAAGTTCTGGTAAAAAAAAAAGAAAATTAATTCTCACAGAATCAAACGAAACTTACACTGAATGTTCAAGATTACAAATAAATGACATGTGCCAAACAATTTTGGAAGGAAATGTATAATGGATGAGTGATGAGCATAGAAAGATAAGGAAATCAAGGTAGTACTAACCCCGACACCATGTGTGTTGTCCCATATATAGCTTTCTGTGTACAGTGCTTGTTACTTTACCAAGACTCGGTCAAATTTATTATGATTTTGATGACTCCAGAACCTTGCAGTGCACACCAATACTTACATGCTACATGATCAACTGTTTCTGATCCTTTTCACACCTTTTCTTTCACAATGCAATCGCATTACCAGTATTAAAGTTTATTTTTAACTTAAGTAGATTTTTTTCTTCGCTCTTCATCATAACATCTTATGATTGACCTTGTATTACTTGATATCATACATGTATGTACATTGTGCATTAGTGCTGACCTTTCATGTTCAAATACAAAATTCCAACACTGTAGGTATTTTTTTTTTACTGAACATATTAGTTTTAAAATATATGTACCTATACCTGGTACAGTTGGAAATATACGATTTTAGTGTATTGCTAATTTTTGCCTCCATGAAAAATATTACCTTGACAGAGATCTTTTTATTTTCATTTACTGACGTATATTTTGTAGAACTGTTGTTCTACAACATATTGTACATGTGCATGTAATGCACGTGTTTGTTTGAGTACATCTTGGATTGGTTATGTACTATGTAAAGCTGTCGTATCAACTCGCGTATTCTTTCATCTTTTCTTATAAGTGGCATGTATTAAACCATCTTAAAAATACATGTACACGATGTATAACATTTCCAAAGATGATATAGTAACACTAGTGTATGGATTTGTTATTCATTCATAAGTTTTGACTTCTTACATGTATGCAAATATGACTACCTCTAGTTTATTTATGAGCTGATAAGTTTACCTCATACCAGTATTACATGTAAGGAATGCAGTATAACTCTTAAGCAACATATGGTATCCATTCTAGGGTACAAGACTACCAGTGCGTATACATGTAGATCGATTTTAATGTCAAATACTTTATACATGTACTTCAGTGAATTCCATTGATCAGTATCAGTAAGTTCTAATATGACTTGATATTATGTAGTCTCCTCGTTTAATATTGGTGGGTTTTTTCAAGGTTTTTATTTTTGTTGTTTTTTCACATTAAGTGTATCTATATAATGCAGAATTACCTTATATTATAATAAATTGTAGTACTGTCATGGGTCAACATCTATTCAATATTTGCATGAACTTTACACAAAAATGCTTACACATGTACATGTATGTGCGAGTGTGTGTTTTAAATAGGAATGCTATGCTGCATTATTTTGTGCAATTTTAAAATACATTTAATCTTGTCGATCCGGCAAAAAATTATAACTGGCGTAGAAGATTTACAACTGGTCCAGAAAAATTGAGCTGGTTCAGTTTAATTTTAATTTGTACCGGTTTGG